CTGCTGACTTCCGACTGGGCTGGCTCCACTTGCGAGTGCTGGCCTCCAGCCTGCCACGAGCATGCCCCTCGCCTCCTTGCTTCTTTCTGAAAGAGCTACCCAAAGGGTTCTGCTAGGTTGTAGGGATCAGTTCAGTCATCCCGCTCTGGAGACTGTAGACTTACGCTTCCATCTAAAACACAGACTTCAAAAAGTACTGTTAACTTGAAAGAAGGCCTGAGCCACAGATCTCAGCTTTGGTCTTAGATTCAGCTGTTTCCGCTGCTCAGGGCAGTTTGGATTTGGAAGTTTGGTTCCGGTTGATCCCTGCAGGGTGGGATAGTTTTGATAAGTCAGTGCATCCAAGACTGTCTTGCTTGTCCCAGCCAGACTTGCAAACTGTTCCAAGTTCAGCACTTTTTTCTTTTCCAGAAAGCTGACAATTTGCATGCTCCTTTCTTGGTGCTACACGCTATCTGCACCCAGGTCTGGCTTGATGTGCATTAGTTGGATCCTTTTCCACCTAGACTGGCTAGCCCTATGACCCAGCTTTTGTGGGATCTACAGCAGACTCAGACAAATCTACCAGCTTTTAGAAACTGTGAATCCATGATTAAAGTCAGCTTGCAAAAGTGTCAGGGGGAAGACTTTGTTTCTCTCAGGAGTTAAGAGAGGGTAAGGAGCCTTTCAGACACATTCGGGGCATATGTGAAGGGCTCTACTCCAAAGGCATAACTCAGAAACAGGCTTTTCTCTCCACAACGTCCAAACTATTTGGTGAGTTTATGGTGGAGCAAGAGGGGTTAATTAGAATGATTTTTTTCTTTCCAATATAACATGTTGTAACTGACCCTTGCCACCCCTGAGAATTTGATTTTGGACGCTTGCCCAGTACTTGACGAGGGTCTGCAACCTTCAGCAACCACTTCTGGGCTGGGCAAAACGCTTAGGTACAAGGCAGTAAAGTTTGGTAGCACTTTAATGGCATCCCTCAACCAATGGTGTCTCGTCTCCTGATGCTGATGCTAAACTATGTGTTTTGCGTAGAGGAAGTCATGCTGGCTGAAGAGAACAAAAACACTGGAACTTCAGCCTTAGAAGGTAAGATGATCAGTGCCCTGCCTAAGTATCTGCCTGCCCTCCCTTGTGCCTGCCTGCAGCTGGAGGTTGAAATCTCTAGAGGCCAGGAACCAGCTATGACATGAGGAGGGAGGTCTGGGAATGGTCCCAGGGTTCCTCCTTGCTAGGGGGTCTGTGGCCCCACAGAGGGCTGTGGGGAAGTGGATTGAGAGCAGCCTGGCGGGACTGGGGATAGCACAAGCCCGTGGAGAGCGTGGAGCCCAGGGGACATCTGGTCCTGCCCAAAGGACTAGTGGGGAAGAAGGTCGTGGCTCCTTCCGGTTACCGGACCTGAGCTAGCCAGGTACCGATTAGCAGGTCCGGTCTGATGAGCAGTTTGCTGGCAGAGCTGGGCAACCACAGCTCCTGTTCCCACTCCTCTTTCCTTTCCAGTGCTCCGGCGAGCAACCATCAAAAGGAACCGGACAGACGCCATGAATCGTGACTCCAGTGATGAGCACTGTGTCGATATTGCCTCTGTGGGTGAGCGGAGGCTGGCTCAGAGAAGACCTCTTCATCCAAACATGGGTCAGTGCAATTTGAAGCTTCCTTCCCCAAAGCCTCTGCTACACCATCACATCATGTCAAGTTGTGAGGGTTGCACCCAGCATGTGGAGATTGTCACAGATCCTCTGTCTCCGCTAGCGTAGTAGCAAAGGGGAGCAAACCATCCACTGCGCCTTGTGCCATTTAGGAAGTGTCTTGATAAGTCCTATCCCATAAGAGCAGGGTCTATGAGCCATCCATCCTCTCTCCTTGTCCTGAGGAAGTCTGAAGCGCTTGACAAGTGCACTCACCTTGGCGTCCCCCCTCTTTCCCCTCAGGTAACCCTTTGACTTGCTCCAGCATCAAAGGTGCCAGATTTAGCGGTGCCTCGTATTTCCGGCACAAAGAGCGACTCCTGCGCATCTCTGTCCGCCACATGGTGAAATCCCAGGTCTTCTACTGGATTGTCTTGAGCCTGGTGGCTCTCAACACTGCCTGCGTGGCCATCGTCCACCACAACCAGCCAGCCTGGCTCACCCACTTCCTCTGTGAGTCCCAGGTCTTTGTGTAGGTGTGTTAAAGCATTGCATGGGCACAAAAGGTAAGGCAAAGCATCCTGGGCCTGGGGCCAACCTTTTGTCTCCAGCAAGCTGCGTGACTGTGCAGGAGCATCAGCAGCCAGAGGCTGCAGCACTCTCCTGGGCTTCTTGCCCTAGGAGGTGTGCAAATGAATCCCACCGGAGTTGTGCTGGTATGAAGCTGGGGTGGAGATCAGGGGAATAACCTGCATTACATTCATTGTTGGTAATGAAGGACTGTGTACAGCCACTTGTTATTGCCCTTGGCCCGTGGCTGCTGATGGTGCTCTCTGCCCAGTTAGCAAGCACGGAAGAGTTTTACTGGCCTCATGCCCTCCAGATCTGACATGTTTGTTGAGAGAGAGACTCACAGCAGACTGTGAGTCTCAGTTGGGTTTATCCTAAAATTACAACAGTGATTGTGGAAAGTTTGCTAAAGATCCATCTCTGAATGCCCACAAGCAATTGCAGGGGCCATGGTGGAAAGCTGTGAGTTTGCAGTGAGGCCTGGGCAATGGTCATGAGAAAACCTGCTGGTTAAAATTTTGGCGTAGTAGCAGCTGGTAGAGCCTGACATGGAGATCCTCGAGGTTGATGCCAGTTACCGAAATGTTCCCCCAGCCCTTTGTGGACCCAGGTACAAGGTCAGGTCTCGGAGGCAGTATATCCATGTTCGTTCTAGTGTGATCCTAATTGCAGAGTGGCACGATCAGCCCCATGGCAGTCATATTGCTCCTGAGCTGCTTCTGTAGGGAGAGTGCTGCTTTCTCAGCCCTGTTATTCTTTCTTCACCTTGAGAACGTCCCCACCAAGCACCAGGCCTGCCCAAATCTGCATTCGCATGCTCAGGCCTGCCAGGATCCCAGCACGACGTAGTGTGGTATGGCAGCTGGTCGTGGTGAGAAGCATCTTTTGGACAAGGTGAAAAGCCAGATTCTTGCCCGCTAGTGTTCATGAAATAGCGGAGGAGCTTTTCACTGGCTCTTGGCTGTTTAGCTCGGTTACCCTGGCCAAATTCCAGCTGTGCAATGATTTGCATGCAGGTTGCTAATATTTCACTACAGTGTGGTGTGGTTAATATCTTTGCTGATGCCCCAGCTACTGTTGCATAGTGTTGAACAGCTGCTCTGCTCCATGACAGCCATCTCTGGTCTTCTCAGAACCCCCTGGGACACCAGTTCACCCACCCTGAAACATTAACTCGTGTGGTCAGTTAATTAGCTCCTCACGGACAAGCTTCCTCTATCTCATATCCTGGCCTGAGCCTTCTCCTAAGGAGAAGCAGCCTACTCAACTCGTTTGCAGCCTACTCAATTCGTTTCACCTCTTGGTGTGCTAGGTGGGCTACTGATGGGTGCAAATGGGGCACTCGACACAGCTCTGCGCCCCTGCGGAACGTGCATCTGGGTTTTCTCTCTTTCAGACTATGCAGAATTCCTGTTCCTTGGGCTCTTCCTCCTGGAGATGTCCTTAAAGATGTATGGGATGGGGCCGCGCCTTTACTTCCATTCGTCATTCAACTGCTTCGACTGTGGGGTAGGCAGCCCTGAAAATGCTGTGGGCTGGGGGGATGTTTGGTAGCCTGCTGAAAGCGTAAGGCACCGAGGGAGAGAGGAGTGGGACAGCTGTCATAGGGTGCAGGGGAGCCCTTTCTCCTGGGACAGCCTGCTCTTGCTGGGCTGAGACACCAAGTTTTGGGGCAGGGTGGCTGGGTGCCTCATCCTCAGGCCTGGGAAGCAGATTTCCTGCGATAGCCTGTCCTGAGCTCTCTGTGCTCGTTTTCAAAGGGCATGTGTTCTGACTCTTATGGCTGTATCTGCTTCTCAGGTCACAGTGGGAAGCATCTTCGAAGTGGTTTGGGCTATCTTCAGACCAGGGACTTCTTTTGGGATCAGTGTCCTACGAGCTCTCCGGCTCCTGCGAATATTTAAAATAACCAAGTATGTACCAACGGTCCATGCCTCTCTCCCTCCTGCTTGGGGCTTGGCTTGTGGCCCACATCTGATCGGTCCTGCTTTCATGGCAGCCTCGCTGCTGGTGCTCCAGCAATGCCTCTGTTTTCCAGGTATTGGGCATCCCTGAGGAATTTGGTGGTCTCACTGATGAGCTCCATGAAATCTATTATCAGCCTGCTCTTCCTCCTCTTCCTCTTCATTGTAGTCTTTGCCCTGTTGGGAATGCAGCTGTTTGGAGGCAGGTAGGTTGTTGCAAGTCTGGGGAAAAGCAACCTCACTGGGTGTTTTCAAAGCCGAATGGTGATACCTTCTTGGGTGCCTAGCAAGACTGCAGCCTGCACCTCAGCATGCTGCTAACAGTGGTACCTCTCCCATATAAGGCCCCCTGCTCAGTGCAGGGGGCAGGGGAGGTCCCTCTGGACTGCATGGGCCATTCTGGCCAGGATGCATTTTGGGTTCTGGCACCAAACGCTCAGGAGACTTTCCTTAAAGTGGGGAAAGCCATCCTTAGCACAAGAGAGTTGAGAGGATAGCAGTCTCTGGTTGGATGCCTTCTTTATTCCAGCTTGCTTGCATCCTTTTGGTTCCACTTCCAGGTTTAATTTCATTGATGGGACACCTTCAGCCAACTTTGACACTTTCCCCGCAGCCATCATGACAGTGTTCCAGGTAGGAGCTGGGTGGCACAGGGACACAAAAAAATGGGTCGGGACCATCTGCTTGCTCTGCCCAGCTCTGTCATATCCTGACCCCTGTCTGGAAGGGGCTTTTTAAAGCAAAGGAGCTCCCCTCTGTTACAATATAACTCGCTTCCTCTGTCTCCTCCCATATAGCAAAGGATATGACTCTCTTCTCCGTTTTGCAAGGAGGAAGAGTTTCAAAACCCTTCTGAGGAGACCTAAATCCTCATCAGAGAGTCTCATCTCTTCTCCCTCAAGTATTGCAGCTGTAGAGCTGGCTTATTGACTTTGTGGGATCTCTGCGCTGAGGTCCTGCCCTGTGCACGAGTGGGGTGGATCCGGTAGGCTGCCTAGGTCACAAGAAGGCACTGGTGATAAAAGCTGCTGACTTATTTTTGTGTAGATCCTGACAGGTGAGGACTGGAACGAGGTGATGTACAATGGCATCCGCTCCCAGGGAGGTGTTCGCTCAGGCATGTGGTCCTCCATCTATTTCATCGTCCTCACCTTGTTTGGAAACTGTATCCACCTGGCTGCAGTGCTTTAGTGAGAGATGACTCCATCTCATCTCCCTCTCTGAGAGTACTCACCCTGCTCACCCACTCCTTATTTCTCCTCAGAGATGTAGCTCTCTCCCAACTAGGGGAGTCCCATCATATGTGGGGCAGCCCCAGAAGTTCCAAGCGCACAGGAGGAGGCTGTCGGGAAAAGCCCGTGCCTCCCGCACGCTGAAGGCTATTTGTATGGGATGTGTGAGGAGTTTGTCCCTTCAGCTGCTCCTCACTGAGCTGGTGAGGACCCTCCAGAGCCAGGGGTTGGGTTCCTTCCCCCTGAGTGTCTGTGGACACTGTGCCCTTAGCACACAGCTTGTGCGTCCTTAGCTGCTCACAGATACTCTGCTGAACGTCTTCTTGGCCATCGCTGTGGACAACCTGGCCAACGCTCAGGAGCTCACCAAGGTACGTCCTAGTTGCTCAGTTTTTTTGCTGGTGTGAAGATTGTGAAGGATGGGGCGAGCAGGAAAGGTGCTGAGAGCAGCACTTGTGACTGTGGTCACTTTGGAGCCAAGGCCATTTTCTCCATTAGCTCAGCCTGCCTTGAAAGGGGTCAGGTCAAATTGGACATGGGGGCTCTTCCTCCAGTAGGGTACGCAGGAAGCTCTGCTGAAGTACACGCCCATATCATTGCACAAAGCCAGTTAGACCTTGATTCAGGAAAGTACTTAAACCTGCTGGAACACCCCCACTTCACATCAAGTGTGCCTAAACTGTTTCTGCATTTAAGCTTGCTGGCTTCGTTTGCCTCGGGCCAGACTAAGATAACCTTCCTCTATCTGATAGGGTCTGATGCAGGGATGACTATCTATCAAGGACTCTGGAGATGCGAAGTGTGAAGCGCTTTTCAGTGGTGTCAATATTTATTCCCCATCTGCCTGTGGGGCAGTGGACATGATTTAGGATGCAATTTAGGATAGTGCTTGAAAAGGTTATTGGATTTGGTTGTTTTTAAGGCCGTGCTGGGAAATATTTGGGGAATGCTGAAACATTGGGGCACCATTTGGATAATGGTGAGTAGGCGAAAGCTGCAAGCATCATTGCTGCTCTTTGAATAGGATCAGAGAACCCATGCTGCCCATTTTGTGTAGAGCCCATGCCTATTATGCACGTCCTCGGGGCTCCCCCAGAGGCCTCAGTGCTGGGGTAAAGCTGACCCGTGAGCAGCAGAGGAAATGGAGTGGAAGAGTTTGTGGTGCTAATTTGTCTTTGGGGCTGCACGTCGGGGAGCGCCTTGCCTCCCGCAGCTAGTGCAGGCGGCGTGTCCAAGGGCTGCCAGCTGCCGATCGGATGAGAAGGGTAGGAGAGCCCTGGGGTGTGCTGATCAGGAGGTTTCCCTGTCCCTCACGTGCCATACCTCTCCTGGTGGTTCTGAAGCATCAATTAAGAGAACGCTGAGTTTCTGAAAAGGCTCAATGAGCACTAATGACTCCTAATGACATTTTTACTTTCAATGGCACAACCGTGCTCATTAAAGTAATACGATCTCTGCCGAGGTCATTCACGGAGCCCTTGCCTCCCACTCCATCAGGGTGATGCCTGTCTCGCCCCTGTGGCTAGGAAGGAGAGGGCTGTGCTGATCTACACTGTCTGGAGTTGTTCTAGCTTGCACAGCCCAATTATTGCCTGGAGTAGGCTGGGTTCACTACTTATTCAAGCAGTGTTGACGCCTTCAGAAAGATTTGGCGTAGTGAGTAAGTTGCGTTCCCGTAGCTTGAGGAAAATAAAGGCTGTCTCTGGAAATACAGGTGCCTGCTCCCTCCTCCTCCCCTGTGCCTAGCCTGGGGTCTTGTGCTGGTGTCTAAGGTAGCCCTGCACGCCCCTTGCTACCTCTGATGGGCGCATGTTTCCTTGAAATGCCATCGTCCCCTTAAGCGACTCCTCTGTTTTCTCCATAGGATGAGCAGGAGGAAGAGGAGGCCTTTAACCAGAAGCACGCCCTTCAGAAAGCCAAAGAAGTCAGCCCAATGTCTGCCCCAAACATGCCTGCTATCGAGTGAGTGAACCCCCTCCCGCCTCCGCACTGCTACTGCAGTGCCCCCTGAGCCCAGCGTGGGCAAGTTGAGTTTTGCCGCCCTAAGGATGGAGATGCAATCTGAGCCCCTAAAGCTGGGCCAGCCTCAGCTGGCTGTGGGGCTGCCTGCTCACCTGGGCAAGAAAGCAGTCCCTGCAAGGGCTGATTCCCTCTCGGGGTGTTTTTCTGAGGATGGATGGTTATGTGAATGGGCTCCCCCCAGACAGCCATGCCTTTCAGAGAGGTGTTAGAGCAGTGAGCCAGACCTGGCCGCCGGGAGGGACCTGGGGCTGCCAAACTGCTGCCTCAAACAGGAGCCTCAATGATGATGTACGGAAGAAGTTGGCTAAAAGAGGCTTTCTGCTCCAAATATAAAGCTCAGATATTCAGGACTGCTGCTAGGGATAGGGAAGGAGGCCAGAGAAGGGAAGATCAGTCGTTTCTGGAGGATGAAGAAGAAACACTGGTGACATTTGCTGCTACCTAGTATTTCTTTGTGGCAGAGGTGCAGGAGAGCAGGCAGGGATGTGGGAGGAAGAAGGGAAGTCTTGGGAGTAGCAGTGTCGGAAATCTCCCCCAGGCTCCTTCCCTGATAGCAAATGCAGTTATGAGAAATGGAACAGGTTTGCAAAACCAGATTTGGTTTTCTAGAGATTTGATTTGGGGGAAAAAAACCAAAATCACATAAAACCCCCAACACAGTGTTAAAAAGCACTATCTCTGCATTTCAGCAGAAGAACAGAAGAACGTTTTGTTTTTTCCTTTCTATATGCTTTTTTTCCCTTTATTTTGCAGTGTCATATGGTCTAAATCACATAAAACTTTCAAAGTCAACATTGGAACGAGGCGTTTTGATTTGTTTTCCAAAACAGTACATTTCAGCACGGCTGAACGGACTTTTTTTTTTTTTTTTTAAATAGAATCCCTTCCCAGGGAATTTTGGGTTTCGTTATGCTTTGAAACTCAGCCAAGTTTGTACACTGCAGAATCTCTTGCAAATTTGCGGAGAGAAACCACTGTCTTCAGACGAGCTCTGATCAGCCGGGTTGGAGAGAGCATCGAAGTTCGTCTCATCTGCTAGGACCTGCCCAAGCTCCCCAAACTCCTTGGCTTGGCAGCAGTGGGCTGTGATGGTCCAAGGCCAGGAGCTTGTGGGCATGCCTGGCATTTTGAATGGCAGCATGGGCCAGAGATATCTCTAAGACCTGCCTAGTCTCCAAGCAGCTGCGGGCACAGCCCTGGTTTGCAGGCAGTGAAGTGATTTTCACAACAACACATAAATCTGTGCCTGGCCACTGGCTCTTCCTCGCAGGCTAATGGGAAGGGGGGGGGGAGGCTGGAAATCTCAGAGTCTGTGTGTCGTGGCTGGCTCTGGCTGCCAATGTGAAAGGGTTGGATAAAGGGAGGGAATAAAGGGATTTAGGTTGCAGTAAAGGCTGGAGAATAGACAGATATGAGAGAAGAGGAGGAAGATGGAATACATTAGAGCACTTAAAGGATTTGTCCGCGCCGTACATCCTTGCTAGAGTTTTATAGCCGTTGTCAAATACAGCTAGTTAAGAAAATGGATTTTTTAACCTTAATTTTTTTTGTTCTAGTGGCACTGAAACGGAAGGTATTGATATTTGCACATCTTTTTTCCCCGTTCCTCCCCGTTCAGTGGTTTCCAGGGCAGAGAAGGGTGTGCAATGCTGTGAGGGTGACGTTTTTCACCTCCAGTTCTGATGTCCCTTTGGTGCTGCCACCGCTCATGTTAGCAATCAGGCCAGGGACGGTGGGGAGTCACGGCAAGGGGTGAGCAGGAGCAGAGCAGGTACTGACGGGCTGTTGGAAACTCCAGTCACGAAGCGGATTTGGTCTCCGTGGCTGGGTGTGTGCAGACACAGATGGTTTCGTTTGTATGTAGGTGCCCAGTGCAGGCAGGTTTGGTACATGGGTTTCTGTGAGCGGAGAGGTCCGGTTGCGTTCAGTGCGGGCGCTCCCACGTGGCCAGGTTGGCGTGGGTGGCTGTGGTGCAGATTGGAGTATTGTATTTGCACATGGGCGCCGTTGGTGCAGATGGCTTGGGCTGTTTGATGAGTGGGTGTCCAGATGGACGCATGTGGATGTAGTAATGTGTCGGAGCCTATTGTGGCGCATGGACGCCGTTGAAGGCTCAGCCGCTTGCTGTGGGAATAGTGGCGTGCGCCGGGCGGAGGGGGCCTGCACGTGAGTCGTGTCTGCGCGGATAGTGGGGGTGCAGGTGCCGTCTCGGCCGCTAACTGCCGTGCCTCGAGCACGGCGCTGGGCTGTTCCTGCGTGTGCAGCCGTAACGTGGCTGTATGGAGGCAATAGCCAGCTTGACCGACCCGGCTGCTGAGGGTGGCGTTGCAGTTGCATGAAAGCAGCTAGATATGCAGTGTCCTGCAGGCGTGTGCTCTGCGCGCACACGCTCTTGTTCACGCGTGTGGAGCATATTCACTTGCGTGTCCTGCACGCGCACATGCCGTTGACATATGGATCAGCCCAAGATGTAAATCCCTGCGTGTGCATTTGCATATACTTTGTGGCTGTTTACTTGGAGCTGCGCGTATCTGAATCTCCTGTGTGCTGAGAGTGAGGATAAAGTCTTGAATCTCAGGAGCTGCCTGAAGGCTGGGATAAATGACACTTGCAGCCGCGTTAGGCATCTCTCCGTGTCAGGGCTACACAAACGAAACTGGCTCTGCCGAGATCTCAGCCCTGTGCTTGTGCCTTGCTTTCTTGGGGAGATTCATGTTCCTCTCCGTTCCCCGCTGTCTCGGGAGAGCGGACGCTGCTGCATCACCCCATGGGGATGGCTCCGAGCAGCTCTTGGCCGGCCTGATACATTGCTTGCTCTGTAAAATGACCGTGTGTGGCTCGCTGGAAGTGAACCGAATAGCTCCTCTGCCCGCAATAGGAGCAGTTTAGAAGAGCTGGTAAATATCCAGGGAGGCAGCCAGGGCTGGCGGGGGGCCGAAGCCGGCGCCGCGGT